GTACATACAAACTCAATCTGTCCTGCACAGCTTCTACGTCTTTATTAATTACTGTTGATCAACTATACTATATGCATTGCAATTATTCATGAATGTTTATTTTGTGACCGTTATATACTATAGCTTATATATTTATTAACATTGTATGAGTTTTTTACTGTAATTTACTCTGCACGTTTCATTATAGCTACAGAAACTATAAAGGTGCGTTCACTTCATTATATTTCACTTTTCGATACTATGTCGTTGTGATAGCTTTGCAAGAGCTGCGAGGTTTTCCTTGAAAATTTTATTTTGAAGTCTATTATTATCATGACCATATTAGTCTTCTGTAGGTGTCTAATGATGATGCAGATATATAATTATATCTATTATTTTGTTGTAATTGTCTAATGGGGGTATTCATACGTAATTTTGGGTTAAAAGTCGGGCACATGGCTATTTCTCTCCCTTTTCTGCATAAATCGGCATATAGCTTGACGTGGGTTGATAGATTAAGTGGTACGTATCACTTGTCAATGAGTATCAATATTCAATCAACATAAATTTTATCAAAAACAAATGATATTAGTACAGCTCAGCTAATGATAATAGTAATAGTTTGGTATAAAATATTCTTTAAAATTCGAAACTACTAATAAACCAAACCAACTGTTTTGTTGTATATAAAATTTTTGAATTCACAATCAGTCGCCTATAATACTTTTTGACCTAAACGAGATTATTACTGCCTTCACTGCGTTCAGACTATCAGTATCACTGTCTATGCAGGAGTAGAATTGTTATTTCATCTAACTTTAACTTTACGAGGTCGGAGCTTGTGAAACTTATTATAAGTAAACTTAACCAGAGATTTTAGATTCTTCAACAGTTTGAAGTTATTTGTTCTTACACTTTCATCAATTCACGTAGAACAAAAACAAAAATTAGTTGAAAGAAGATGCATTTATCAGTCTAAATCAATTTAATTTTTGATCACAATTGAATAAACACAAGTTGAAACTAACAAAAAATTTAGGAAACTGAGGCAGATGAATGCTTCTTTGTCAAGCAGTTGATGAATGTATTAGGTAAGTAATAATATTAAAGATTTTAATGACATGAATTCACGCTTTTAAACAAGGACTTTTTATTTGAAAAATAGTCACTCCCGCCAATCCATCTCGCGCCGGAGGCGCGACTCCACTAGGGGGGTCCGGGGGCATGCTCCCCCGGAAAATTTTGAAATCCAGAGCCTTGGAAACAGCATTTCCTGCGATTTCGAGGGCAAATTATTTGTTGTACAATAATTTATAAAAACCCATTTTTGTTAGCTGCATTCTTAATGTGGCAATCGTTGAAACTGCAACTAGTTAAAAAGGTACTAAAGGTGGCTCAGAGAAACGTTACGCAGGAGACAATTGTCCCCTAAAACATAATTTACTCATCACTGCCCCTGCATAAACAGAAGAAATTTGTATTAGCACAAAAAATAATATAGTATACGACACTTCTAAAGTGCATAGAGAGAGATTTTTCTTAGCATTCTACTTGTTAGTTTAAACTTGTTTAGATTGGGGCAAGTAGACAGGGATGGCTTTATTCTTTAAAGTTATGCTTAATTTTCTCAATGAAGTACCATGTATTATACGAACAAATATCAAAACACATACTATACTCATCATTTATAAAGAAAGGCCAGCCTCCTGGGTTTTCTACAAATTTTCAACCACCTCGTTATGCAACACCTCTGATTCCTCTTTCTTTTCAATGATATCTTTGTGAATAGATATTCTAAACAAAGAGCTAAGCCGACCTTGACCCATTCTATTTCTTAAATAGCTTTTACCCTTTTAAGCAAGAAAACGACCTCTCTACTGAAGCACTTGCCACTGCCAACACACCATTCAATTTTAACAAATTTACCACTTGACCTAAACTCGACTGGAGATTAAATTTGAAGATGTATTTAAGAACCTCATTACTGCACTCTTTGTGAAAGTCCTTGTCGTTGTAAATGAAGGAAAGTTGACTCTCCAAAGTTTGGATGTCAAAAGAGGACTATACTTATCTTTGAGAAGATTGATCTTCTCCTGTGGAACTATGCCCTTCCATGTAGTAAATAGTTTAGGATTTACAAGGTCTAAAAACTCGAACTGATTAATATCTTGAAATCGTTCACTTAACATGCCTTTAATGGAATCAATAATCTCAAAATAAAGCTGTTTGTAATTGTATCTACTATCTGCTCTGGTTGCTGGTGGGCCTACTTTTTCTAGTGCAGTTTGGTAAAACTCGGTGAAAGCTTGATCTGTGCGAAGTGACACAATAAACTGCTTGAAATTGTCAATCTTGCTTATGCCATAGTTAAAATGGGTTTCCCTATTTTGAAGAATGGAATACAAAATTGTGGACTGTTCTAAAATCCTGTAAAAACACACTAAAACAAAAGAGAAAGCTATCAAGATAATGCAGTAAGCCACTTATTTTACTTAATGACTCATCATCCCACCCAGCTGGTTGTTCAAGTACCCCTCAAAAATATCTAAAAGTTTTTCATAGTTTTGTGCAATACATTGATTAATCTAGAGCGATAATACCATCTTGTTTCACCAGGGCAGGAAACTCAAGGTTGTTAGATGTGAGAAAAGCTTTTCTTTTGGGGCATTGCTTGTAAATGTGCTGAATGTAGCTATATTAATAAAAAGATTTTAACAGGAGAAATTGATGAGGCTGACTGGCATAGGACCAGGTTCAATCTATGAGCTGCACAATGAACAAAATGAGCAAAAGGATACTCTTGTCGAACCAATGCTTGAACACCATTGATATGGCCAGACATGACAGAAGCACCATCATATGTTTGTAAAACCAGTTTTTCTTTTATATTAGAATACTCACCAAATTTATCTTTGACAACTTGTGATATTGCTGTGGCATTTCTGTTCATACTTACATCCACAAATCCTAATTGCCTCTCCATAATTTCACTTGCTTTGTCAAACCGAGCAATAACACTTAGCTGCTCTTTGGTGGAGACATCAGATGCTTCATCAACCTGAATACTCATAAATGTGCAATCATTTATTTCCTTTCTGATTTTATCTTCAATAATTGAATCAAGACAGCTGATAAGACCATTTTGAATTTCTGGGGAGACTCCAGTAAATCTTCTGTCACCAATTATATCAGATTCTGCTAGTCTACTGTGCAGTCGACGCTCAAAAACAGAATCAAACTTAGCAAAACATTCGAGCAGCTCTCTATAATTACCTTTGTTCAAGCTACCTTCGGACTCATTGTGACCTCTAAATGGCAACTCTTGCTTTGACAAATACAGCACGGCCTCAGTAACAGTTTTAAAATTCTCGATTTTGTCTTACCTCCTCATTGTGACGCTGAATCTCATTTCTTCTAGCGAGGGACATAAGACAATCAATTCGTTCACTAGCTCCATACGTTTTCCATATCTTAAATGCAGTCAAATGCGATTTAGATTTTTCATGCTTCTTAGCATCAGACATAATACTCCGCATATCGTTGTAGCCATTCTTAGTCCACGATGGCGATGTTTTTGTGGAAAACATTAGACATGGCCAACAAAAGACTTTCTGCAAGGTTGTACTGCCACACAGCCAGTCCTTCGCCTCATACCAATCTCTCTGAAATGCTCTTCCCTTATTTTGGATAGTTAAATCAGGAGTAGGCCGTTCATGAACGATAACATTCTGTTCGACCGACGATCGAGCAGAGAACGGTTTAGCTAATAAGCTATTTACTAAATCAACATCAGTTGAGCAAATCGCAGTCGCACTTGAAGCCATTGTGTCATACACAAATACAAAATAGCAATTTGAGAGTAAACACAATGGAAAATTAATACCAACAATGACACGTAATTTGATAATCACTAATCGCTGTACTCGTATTAAAAGGTCGAATAATTACAACCTCCGCCAATTTAAAATAGCGGGAGTTCGACTATAAAAACAGATTTGAGCATGCGTCAAGTCCCTTAGCCAACCAGAATTCAAAACTTCTTATATAGAATTATATTGTATGTTCCGCCCTCTGAAGATGGGCGGAATACGTGGAGAATCGCGCGAGTATGCAATGTGCGAGAAAAGGCGGTTGCTAGGTTACATAACAAATCTTGAGATTTTGCTGTATTACGATTACGAACCACCTAATAAAAGCGTAAATATGAACAAATAAAACATAATATTACAAATTGTTCGTGAAATAATGTATGTCTTATGTCCAAATAGAATATTTATTATTTTTTTGGGAAATTTCTACTCCCGCCGGGCGGGAGTAGCGGGACCGCTAGCTACGCCACTGGAAACAATGGTCATTAGCCATGAAGTATTTCAGTAGGTTTCACTTTTCTCCTGATTTTTAAAAAACAGCATTGTTGTTGGCATGAATATTAATCGAGCTTGTGAAAGGTCTTTTAGATTATTTAAACATCGTTCTCTTAAAAGCATGACTAAGTGAAAGTGGGTTTCAGGAGAAAGTGGGTTTGAAGCAAAAGTTCATTCAAGTAAAAAGTTCATTACGGAAGTTTTCAATTCATCCAGGTAAGTTAAACTGTATATTATATTTTTTTCATGTTATCAAATTGAGATTAAAAACCCAACCTGTTGTCACAAAATACTAAAACATATTACAAAATTTTATCAATATTTAACGGTCTGATGCGTATTTAACGAATCTTTCACTTCATCATTTTATATACTTCTTTCATTTATGTAGTTGTAGTAAATGCGAGCCTTTTGTCAATAGCTTAAAGTGAATATAAGAAGATATTTCTAATGTAAAGCGGGGCAGCTGGAAAAAGCTAACTCTATCAGTCAAACATTTGATTTTAAAGTTCAATTTGCTGAATTCCTTTCGGCTTTGTTGTCATACAGAACCTTACGTACGTTATTTAATTAGTACGACAATTAAAATTTGATTGTGTTTTATTTCGTTAAAAGTGGATGTAACTTTGCCTTAAACGAGCTCACTACGATATTAGT